TTGATGGCTGCATAATATTCCATTGTATATATATACCACATCTTCTTTATCCAGTCATCTGTCGATGGACATCTTGGCTCTTTCCACAGTTTGGCTATCCCACAAGCTCCTCTTTAGGTTCCTTCTTAGGTCAAGAGTTGGCTCAGTCTACACAGTTGCCCAAGGCTCAGAAGTGTGTGGGGGAGGGAACACTCTGGGTGACAACCTTCCACCAACATAGGATGGAGGCAGATGTTCAAACACTTCTGCCACCCTTCTTTCCAGAGGTTGATTCTGGGAGCCATTCCATAGGCTTCTCAGGTAATCTCAGGAGAATCAATCCCCATTGCCCACTAAACTGACCTAAATTATGCATACTTGTGTTGGTTTCTCCTCCTTCTTCATCTCTGCTGCCTACTCAGTCCTGATCCCCTGGGATCATTTCCAAATGAACTATCTGCACACAGGACCTTCTCTCAGGCTCTGCTTTATTGAGTCATGGTTTCATATAGTCAATATTTGGTAATGGTTTCATATAGTTGTTCTCCTTCCCTTTGGTTAATGCTTGGATCTCAAAAGACAAGTTTACTGGGTCAGGGCCAGGACATGAGCTAGGCATTTGGTTGGTGTGTTCACCAGGGCTGGGGCTAGGACCAGATTCAGGGACTTGCCCAGTGTGTTCTTTGGGACCAGGGCTGGGGCAAGACCATGGACTCAACTAGCATATTTTGTAGGACTGGGTCCAAGAGGGTGGCCCCCCAGTCAGGGCCAACAAGATTGGGACTAAGCTAGCCACATAACTAGGAGAATGTTGACATAAGGATTTAGCAAATAAGTAAATGTATTGAAGATAATGTAAGTCAAGTCACTTACTATTAGAGAAGTTTCCATAGACAAAATATAGGAATGTCAGAAGGCTAAAAAAGAAAAACCCAAACACATGTTGTGTTGACCTGAAATTGGAGGTATTGGTTCAAACTCAAGAATTTACAGGTAGGAGGTGGAGCAAGATGGCGGAGGAGTAGGAGACCTGGATCTCGTCTGGTCTCAGGAATTCAGCTGGATAGGGATCAAACCACTGTGAACACCTACGAACTCAACAGGAGATCGAAGAAAAGAATAGCAACAACTCTCTGAACAGAAAAGCAACCACTTTCTGGAAGGTAGGACGTGCGGAGAAGTGAATCCAAGGCAATATTTGGGAGGATAGATGGTGGGGAAGGGGCCTCCATCGGCCACTTCTGGCAAGTGATAGAGCCGTGGAGCACAAAATCAGAACTTTTAGAAGTCGGATCCACTGGAGGATGTTGCTCTGGTGGCTAAGCGGGGGGTGGAACCCTCTGGGACAGTATGGTCTCAGCACCCTCGGGGTCATAGAAAGACTGGGGGTGCCTGAGTGCGGCAGAGCTCCCAGGTA